ATAATTTTCCATTCATCCGATAAGATGGAAAAATCATTTAGCTCTCGGTCAATAGCTGCAATATTATCAAGAGGCTGTATAAATGTAATACTAGATAAATAAATTAATACATTATATCTAGTATATACTGTATTTATATATGTTTATTTAAATAGTTTTACCACTTGAAGTTCAAGAGCGCATTTTAACATTAGGTACGTTGAATTCCATCTCATCTTAACATCTAAAATAAGGTTTAATTCTTTAATATTTTGACTATTGCATTGGCAAAAAAATCTTTCACGGCGCTATGGTGAAACTCGGATTTTTACAATAAGCTTTCTTAGCTAAATAAAAATTAATAATAAATATTTTTATTTTAGAATAATATTAAAAAATATTAGTGTTTTATTCTTACCTTAGGTATTATTTTATTTGTAAAAAGATTTGTATTATTCAAAATATCATCTAAAATTATATCTTCATCTTGTGGTTCTCCCGCTTTGATATATTTTAGTATCTCTTGAACTGCAAGGTTCATCATATGAGCGATACATCTGACATGATTTCGCTTATGATGGAATTCAATGTGATTTTTGATGCACATCTTTTCAAATTCCTTAAGAAAGGTATTGTTATTAGCGGCATTGTCCGTTGTTATTCCAAGGGTCTAAATTAAGTGTATTATAGTATTATCATTAGTATTTTTATTTTGTCTTTATAATACATTATATATATTAATATATACTTAACCTTTGTGAATATTTTTTTCTTTTCAAGGCATTTTAAAAATGCATTTGCCAGATTTTCGCCTGAATGAGAACCCTCTAAATAAATAAAATCAAGAAGAATATCTCTAAGTTTCCAGTTAGCATCAATATAATGGCATGTTATGCCGAGAAATCCAAGAATATTAGGAGAGGTCCAAGCATCCAACGCAAAACTTATTTTTCCTGAAACGTTCTTCAATTTTAAGAGGTAAGTAAATTAATTTAATTATATAATAATAATAAATTAAAATTTATAAATTCTTTACTAACCTGTAATAAATTTTGAATTTTTGTTTGATAATTTTTAAAAATTTTTAAAATATCATTTTTAACCGTATCTGCAGTCGGAATACGTG